GAAAAAGACCCCCTGGACTCCTCACACAGTGAGTCAAGCCGTCACTGTTTCTGAGGGTGTCACTTGCTGCCGGACTGGGCAGTGATCAGAGGTCCCTGAGCAGGGCGCTTCTCCTGCCTGCCCTCCTAATCCTGCTGTGGGTGGCTTCCTTCCCGGTGACAGCATGTTGAAGGGAATGGGAGGCCAAGGGCACCCACCAACCTGCTTCCTGTGACCTTGGGCCTGGCACTGAAGTGTCTCCAGCAGCTGCTGCTGGGCCTCCTCTCGCCATATGTGAAGATGGGAGCCCCGCACTCCTATCCAGGCAGGACAGGCCTGTTGGCCTGACACATATGATGCCCGTGAGGAGGGTGTCAGTGCACTGATCAGAATCAAAATGCCCCATTACCCTGCTGGCCTTCCCCTCCTGCAAGGGAGCTGAGATGCCACCACACACACAGAGAGGGCCTCTGGGTAGGTGGATGGGGAGAAAAGAGGGCCTGGGGAGCCTGAGGGAGGGGCTGGCAAAGGCAGACAGGGAGGGGAGAGGAGGGAGGTTGTGTCTGAAGTCCCTGCTCATCAGGCCTAGTGCCCAGCGCCCACATTGTCCCGAGTGACCCTCACACAGCCCCGGAGCCTCTGTTAATGTCCCCCTTTGCAGGTGAGAAAACAGTGTCCAAGATCACACAACTTACCCATGCCACAAGCTGCTCAGTGACCAGGCAGGATGCCCACCCAGGTCTGTCTGGTGCCAAAGTATGTGACTTTCCTTGTGTCCCAAACAACACACACATGAAAGACCCTGTCGCCAGCTCCAGCAGGCAGGGCTCAGAGCCACCGGCGTCGGTTCCAGAAGGGCCTGAACTGGGACAGGGAAAATGAGGCTCTAACTATGATGCTCTCACTTCCTAACTAAGTGCCCTCTCAGCCTCAGTTTCCTCGTCTGTAAAACGGGAGTGATGTCCCCGACTATAGAGGTAACAGGAGGGTCAAAGTGAGACCTGCGTGCCCGAACTTAGACCTACCCTGTGCCAGGCTCTGGCGGGGGACACTGAGGGAGCAAGATGCTGTCACTGGTGTTCAGTCCAGGGACAGTGACCACAGGCAGAGGGGTAACAGGTGGCCAGGGCCCCCTCAACAGTCTGGTGGGGTCCTGAGGAGACCAGGTCCAGCGGTCTCCCTGGGAGAGTCAGGGAGGCCTGCGGAGGGAGTGGATGAGTTATCACCAGCCTGGGCAGAGAGGAAAGGGCCATCCTGCAGGGCCCAGCAGTGCAGAAGGAAGGAGGTGCAGAGCAGCCTAGCTCTTTGGGGAAGCACTCCCCCTGGTGGGCCTGCAGGTGACAGCTTCTGGGTAGATAAGTCTGGGAGGGAGCAGGGGGCGACACAGCCTGAAACAGGGCCAGGCTCCCAGCAGTTTTGAATTCCAGGCCAGGAGGCTGAACATGATCCCATAGGCAGTGAGGAGCCACTGAAGGTTCTTGAGCTGGAGCATGACAGGACAAAATTCACATATTGGTGAGTAGGAAGAGTCAGGAAAACAGGAGCAAGGGCCAGCTGGGAGGCTGGGTTCCCTGGCAAACTGGGATGCCCCCAGGCTGAGTAACTCAGGTCCAGAGAGCAGATGAGAGTCAGGCCAGGTCATGTCCTGGGTCAGCCCAGCTCAAAACAACGCCCATGATCCAAGACACAAAAGCCCTGGAGTCAGCTCCTGGCCTCTGAGTTCCCCACAGCCCATCGCCACCAGGATTCCTCGGAAACCGCGCAGACCTGTGACCTGAGACACAGCTCCTGGGCCCAAACCCCGGTGGCCCGCCCTTTCTGTCTGGCACTCCAGGCACCTGGCCTGCACTGACATGGTGCATCCTCTCCATGCGCTGGCCAGGTGAGTACATGTCCCATTCCCTATGTGAGCATACTGAGGCCCAGAGCTAAGCAGGTCCCCCCAGTCACTCAGCAATGGGGGCAGTGCAGGGTTCACCCAGCAACTAGAATTTCAGGTCCATGTTTTCTTCATAGCATCTATTTTGGGGCCCCTCAGACACCTCTGCTTTTGGGATCTCTAATATCCTCCACGTACCGCCCCCCCCCCCCGCCCCACCCCCCCCCCACCCCACCAGGCTGCTATTATTTTTGGCTTGAAGACCCTTAGATCCTGGTTATGACTTGACCACTTACCCAGAGGAGCAGAAGAGAGCAGGGAACAGGACATTGCCTCCTTGGAGTCCTCCTAGTTAACCCCCATCCCATGCCCAACATTCAGGTCTGAGCTGCCAGAGATGTACCACCCAGGCCTGAATGTGGCCCAGCTGGGGAGAAGAGGTTACTCTGTCTGAGGGGCCCAGTCTCTGCCCCCAAGAGAGAGGCCACCACCCACCTCAGGAGCCCTCACGCACAGGAGGGAGGGTCCAGTTAAAGGGATTAGATTAGGTGCTACTTGGTGCCACCTGGGTACTTTGGGAAAGAGCCTGGTTCCCAATGAAGGCCCTTAACCCCACCCCCAGCCGGGCCCACCACACTATTCCTGGGCCAATGGTGCCATCCTGTGGTCGGATGGCTCCATAGCAGCCCCTGGCCTGTGAGTCCAGGCCACTAAGAACACAGAACTCCCAGGTCCAAGGGCAGTATGCAGTCGCCTCCCCAAGGCCAGGGGCACATCACAGATATGGAAACTGGGTCACCGATGTGGCGGCAAAGGGTGAGTAGGAACAGTAGGAAGTTTAGAGTCTAGCAGGGCTGGGCACCAGCCAGACCATATAGTAGTGGGGTGTCCAGCTGAGTTTGAATTTTATCGTGGAGATGACAGGGAGCCAGAGAAAGTTCTTGAGCAGAGGTGTGGCTGGACATGACTGCACTTTGGGCCTATCACTTTTCTATCAGTGTGCACAATGGACTGAAAAACAAGGGCACAAAGGCAGGGAGGCCAGGTAACCTGCTAGAATCCCAGCCCCTCACATCACATTAAGTCTAGACCTCCGAGAGGCTATGTTCTGGAAAGAGCCCTGATTGGGGAGGCAGAGATTGCAGGGTGCAAATCACAGTCCCACCATGACTGGTTATGTGATATTTTGTATCTGGCAGCCTCAGTTTCCCCATTTGTGAAGCAAGCCTATAAGCACCACTGAGAAATTCTAGTTAACGATTGTGTATCTCCTTGCACCTATTGAGTAATCAAAAAATGACAGCTCAACAGATGAGCTAAATCTGATTCTGACCCCGAATACTCGAAGTTTGCTGTGTGCCCATGAGCAGAACGTTCCCCTCCCATGTCAGCAAGATACCTGATGCCAAGTGAGCCCCAGGGCGAACCTTGTGGCCACCAGACAGCTCTGAGAGGCAGCGGACACATCTGGGGAAACAGGACACCTGGAGCAGCTCCTGGCTCCCCCGTACTAAATGCATTTGCATCTGGAATAGATGGGGGGCTGCAGGACAGGGCTGTGAGATATTCCAGGGACAGCTGTTAGCCCCTCAGCTCTCACCCCCCACCCTGGACCCTAAGCCTGCTGCTTGGTGTCTCCATCTGATTTGACTTCATAAAAGACACATGGACACGTTTCCATCTTTGAGCACATACCATGTGCCTGTCTTCAGACTTCTGGTCTATGCCTGTTTCTGGATCATCACCCCACTTAATAGATGAGGAAGTCAGGCCCTTGGAAATGAGATGGCTCACACAGCCAGAAATAAAGTTAAGGCTGGTGTGTCAGCCCATGAACATGGGGAATTTGGCCTGGTTTTGCTCTCTGCTCTATCCCTCATACCTAGAAGAGGGCCTAGCATGGGCACAGCACAAACATTTGTTGCATGACTGAATGCTGAAGGCAGCCAGAGGTTTGCAGGCACACCCCACCAGCCACACCCTATCATCCACACCTTGCCTCCCTGAGCCCAGGCACACTCAAGCTGGTGCTGCTGAGGCAGAGGCGAGGCTGTGCTATCTTTGCTTGTGGTGGAGCCAGGGGGTGGTGCCACATCCCGCCTGAGCGCCATGGTATACACTTGGGGGTCACCTCCCAGCAGGTAACAGGTGTCCCAGGTGGCTCAGCCACAGAGGCCAGGTAGCCACAGTAGCTCGGGGGACACCAGCACCAGAGGGGAGCAAGGAAGATACTGAGAAACTGACAGGTGTGGATATGTCCAGGAGACCAGGACACCCCCCTCAAGATGGCGGCGGGGCTGCCAACTCCACTCTGAAGACAAAGCGTGGGTGGCCACTATGCAGTGCTCCTCATTTATTTCCTCATTTGCACCCTGCAGCCCCCGGGCAGGGGTGGGTGCTGTATTGCTTTTCCATGCACGGGGACTGTGGGACACACGGGTGCTGGGGGATGATGCTGGAACCCAGGATGGTCGGGTCACTTCCCAGAACTGAAGGAACAGAACCGAGACACAGAGGCCGCCACGTGGGCAGAAAGGAATGGAGGAGAGCTATGTGAGGCGCTCACCTCCCTTGAGAACAGAAACTCCAGGGTCAAGTTGACCCTGCTCAGTTTCCTGAGCACCATAAATACCCATCACCCGCCACCCTCAACAGAACCCTCCTGCTCCCCAAGGAGCCACGCAGCCACCACCCCCTTCAGCACTTAAGTTAAATCATATTTAATTGTTTTTCAAAAGGGAATTCGGGACATCAGAAAAGAGATTCACAGTACTTGCAGTCAAGAAAGGGTTAACTAAAAAAAACAGGAATATATTAAGCTTTTGATAAAAAAATGCAAACACAGTCCCTCTCACACTCACCTCTGCGTTCCCACTCACCACACGCATTCCTACACCCAGACACCCCCTCAGGCACACACATGTGCTCCAAATGCACACACACGTGCACACACACACAGGCACACATGTGCACACGCACACAGGCTCACGGGGCAGAGGTAGGGGGTGGCCTGGTGGCTTCCAGGACCCCTCCCCGCCCCCTCATTAAATGGCAACATTACACTACACGGAGCTCAGGGGACACACGAGGATGCTGACTGCACTGGGGAAGGGACAGGGAGGCTGCAGCGGGGCAGGTGACATCAGACGATCGTGTTCTCCAGGACGGCCAGCCGCTTGCTCACAGCTTCCAGTGGACGCAGAGTTAAGGAGTAAGGCGGCGGAGCAGAGCGGGGCAGTGGCGGGTGCTGCACCCTAACTCAGGAGCCCACTTCCTGTTCCCCCAGCATGGCCCACTTCCAGGGCTTTCTCACTTCCCTGTGTGTCTTCTCCCCAGTGTCAAGACTTACCCATCTACCCTCTCAATGGTGCCTTCTCCCAAAATAACCCGTTACTGTGGGCCCTGCATGCCCTGCCCTACCCAGTGGCAGGCCTAGGCCTGCTGGGACCCACCCTCCTGCTCCTGACTGAGTCAGGGGAGGTCTTCGGGGTCTAGCCTCATCTGAGTGATGGCTGGTGGGGTTCATGTTGCCAAGGGCCTGAGAAACCCGGAGTCCACTGGGCCGCATGTTTTCTTGAACACGACTAGGATTCTGTGTGCGTCCAGTCTCTACAGCTTGGGTTATGCCTCAGTTTCTGTTTTCCCTCTAGGAGCCTCTGCTTGTGCAAAGTTGGTGCCAGCCTACCTGGCCAGAACCCAGTCCAGGCAGGGGGAGCCTGCATGACCCACCACATGAGGGGGTATAGCCCTCCCCCGCCCATCTCTCCTCACACTGCCCAGCCCCCTGCAACCTGCCCAGCAGGGGCCTCTGGGAAAGGATATGCTTCCTGGTCAGGGCGTGCAGCAGCCCCTCCACTTTGGCCTGGAATTTCACGATGGACTCACAGGCACACGGGTCTTCCTCTGCAGCGGACGGGAAGTAGGGAGAGAAAAGGGGATGGTGAGAGTCCGCCTGGCAGGGAGGTGGGGGAGTCACTGCGCACGGCCAGGGCTCAGGAGGAGTCGGGGAAGTGTGGAGCCTAGGAGATCTGAGAGGGCAGAGAGACCAGGAGTTCTCGAGAGAGAGGCCCCAGGAGTAATGGAGGGGTCACCCCAAATATCATCCCTGTTCCCCAGATCCCTGATAAAGAACTGTGATGACAGCATCCTGGGCCGAGCACTCACAGAGCACAGGACACTGTTTTAGGGGCCTCCATGTCACTTTGGTGGCTGCTCACCCCAATTCTAAGTCATTAGTCCCATTTTACAAATGAGGAAGTGAAACTACTTGTCCACAGCCAGCAGCTAGTTAGCTTCAGAGCAAAGAGCCAAACCCAGGCAAGTCTGATGCTGCTGTCCACACTCTTCACATGGGAACAAGAGAAGATCAGGACGAGCTGCGAGGTTCAAATCCTGGCACCCCAGGTGTCAACAATTGCTCTCCCTTTATGACCTTGGCTTTCCTGTCTGTAAAATGGGGATGATAATATTCCTACCAAATAGGATTGAGTGATTTAAAACCTGGACAGCACCCGGTTCTGTGCTAGTCACATAATGAACATCGAATATATGTCAGTTAGCACTAAGTCATGCTGCCCAGCCTACCTCCTGCTCCTGCCAACTCTGGGTGCCACCCAACTCCTGCTTTTCCCCACCCATGTCCAGCTCCAGGATGTCTCCGCCCCCTTCCCAACCCTCCCATCCAACCTCATGCCAAGTCCATGCCAACTCCAACCTCACTCACCCACACAGATCTTCTTCTGCAACTTCTTGCCAATCTGGTTGATGGTCCTGAAGTCAGCTGTGTAGAAGTAGTGCTCTGCCACAGGCTCTGAGGCAATTTCCCTCAGCTCATCCTCCACAGCATTGCCCACACCCACAGCAAACATCTTAAAGCCTGACAAGGGGAACAAGACGAGTACAGTGACCATGGGGACAGGCGATCATTCAGAGCCTCCAGAAGAAATGCCCAGGCAATCAACACCAGACACTCCCTGATGGGAGATGCTGGAATTGCAGGCACAGTGCCTGGGACAAAGTCATGGAAGACATCAACTTTCATTGAGGTTCTACTATACATCAGACCTGTACTGATTCCTAGTATGGGAGCTTGAGAATATCATTTAACCATCCATCTGGGGGTTACCTTCCAAAAGTTAGTAGCTTCTTGGGAACACTCAACTGGAAAAGTTCCAAGGCCCACCTACAAAAGGACCATCAAAGCAAGTCACTTAGTTTTCTGAGTCTTCAGTATCAGAAAGAGTTGGACACACCAACCCCTCCTCATTCAAGTTGTACCTGGATGGAGGGCACTAACCAGGACAGGCTAAGATAACCTGCAGTTGGGCCATGCTGTGTGTGGCCATGCAGGCAGCACCTACCAAGGTCCTTGGCCTTCTTGGCAGCATCATTAATGTAGTCCTGGCTCCGGCCATCAGTGAAGACAATGCCCACCTTCTGGGCACCAGGTCTTGCCCCGCTGGACACAGTGAAGGAATTGTCAATGAGGTACTTGAGGGCAGCCCCAGTCATGGTGCCCTTCTCCATGTAGGACATGCTCCGCACAGCGGCCTTGATGTCCTTCTTGGTGTGGAAGCGGCCCAGTGGGAACTCCTGGCGCACTGAGCTGGAGTACTGCACCAGCCCCACCTGGGCCAGCTTGTCTGACACATCCAGTGTGTCCACAATCTGGTTGATGAACTTCTTCACCAACTCAAAGTTCTCGGGTCTCACACTCTTGGATCCATCGATGAGGAAGACCAGGTCAGTGGCCGAACTGCCACCACCGCCGCTGCAGACTGGGCAGGTGGGAAAATGAGGAGGTGACATTTAAGGACGCAGAAATCCACCAGCTGGGTGCCCACCTTGCACCAAGCTCCATGCTGGGTCTCATCTCATTTTGTCCTCAAAATTCCCTCTATTAAGTCAAAGTTACTAGACCTATTTTATAGCATTAAAAACTGAAGCTCCAAAAGCTGCCAAATCACAGGACTTAGAAGTGGGGACATCAAGATGTGGCCTCCTTCTCCCACCTTAAACACACTAACCCTTGTGACAAAAGAGGGACAGAAGTCAGAGAAAAACCTTCTGCAGACAGGGAAATCTCCAGGGCACCTATCAACTTTGCAGGGAGTTCCAGAGGCAAAGTGCAAAGAGGCTGGGATGGGCTTCCTGGGAAGAAGTCCAGGCCCACCCCTCTCTTCCCTGCCCTCCCCAGGTCCCACCTGTGTCCAGCCCACTGACCATTGCAGGTCTTGTCATCACTGTTCAAGGTGAAACCTTCTCGGCAGGCGCAAGTGTAGGAGCCAGGAGAACTGATGCACACCTGCTCGCAGTCGTGGTCCCCCGTGGCACACAGGTCTGACACCACTGTGGGGACAAGAGGACACTGCACCTCACAGCCATAGGGCCTTGGACAGCCCAGCCAGGCTGGTCCCCCGCATACTCAGGGAAACTGAGGTCCCCAACAGGGTGGGGTTCCGAGCCCAGGTCCTCAGCTGAATCACTGCAGGAGGGTTGACCCTCACGGTGATGATATAATAAAACTAAAACTTCTCCACTGCTGCATCCCAAGCATCTAGAATCAGACACGCAGCAGTGGGCACAGCCCAAGAATAAATACTCGACACTGAGCATTATTTTGTTGAATCCTCACAGTGAGGTACATGCTCTTTTCAGACTCGTTTTGCAGACAGAAGTCCTGCTCTGGCCCCACCTCTGCCCTGCTGGAGACCCCCACCCTTCTGACTGGTCCCACCAAAGACGCAGCCCCACACACAGGTCCACCTCCCTTCCGTGAAGGACCCTGAAACTTTTCCTGTCCAATGCCCTTCAACCCTGCCCACATCACGGAAGACTTTGGCATGCAAATTCCCCAACAAACAAATACCACTAGGTCTTTTAGGCCCTCCTTGGTGCCTGCCAGGAGCCTGCCAGGTAAAAGTGACCTTAGCATCACCTCTTTCCAAGCTCCTTAGCCCCATGCCAGGAACCGGCACGATCACACCCAGCTCCTGCCCTGATCCCACCTCCATCTGACCCTGGTTCCACCTCAAATCTGCCCCAATATGCTCAGGGCCCATGCCACCCTGGCCCCTCCCGGCGCACCGCAGAAGGCCTCTTGGAACTTCTTGGACAGCTTCTCAATGACACTGTAGCTCTCCACGTAGTCCACGTGCTCGTCCTGCGGCTCGCTGGCGATCTGCCTCAGGGTGGCCTTGTCCACACGGCCCACACCGATGGCGAACAGCTCCACGCCACTGGCCTGGGCCCGGGCAGACACGTCCCGTACGCTGTCCTGGGGCCTCCCATCGGTCACCACTATGACCACCTGCAACATGCAGGGGCGCGTGTGACCACCAAGTCCCTCCCCGCACTGGGCTAGGTCGCTTGGCCCTGCAGGAAGCCCCTGGATCTCCTTGGCAGGTAGGGGGACAACCCAGGAAACAGTGGCTGGCGAGGTCACACAGCTACTCGGTTTCAGGTGGATCCGATTCACCCGCCAGGGCTCTGTGCCAGGAGAGAGCGCCTGGCTTGCAGAAGAGGTTTCCTAGGGTGATGTCCTTTGACTAGGGCCTCGGGATGTCCATGCAGTTCTGACTTTTGACCACCAGGGGGAGGCAGAGGCTAACGATCGTTGGGCTGCCTGGGCTCTGGCCGTCTGAGCGCCCTGGCATGGAGCCACACCCACCATGCGCATGCCCTCCCGTGGAAGGAAGAAGCAGCCCTTTCTCCCTCTGTTCCCCGGGCTCTACATGCCCTTTCCATAAAGAAAAAGACTATCTGCCTCCCTTTCTCCCCTACAAGGCTTCTATGTTCTGTACCCTGGGAAGGGTGAGTAGCCACCCGGCGCTGAACCTGGCCGTCATGCGCCCCTGCCCCAGCCTGGCCCAGCCTGCCCTGAAAGAACACCCCACGACTTTGCTGCTCCTTTGGCTGCTCCCGGCCTCTGGACCTAGCCTGCCTCGAGGCCCTGAACCCCAGCCTCGGCTGTGCTGCCAGACCCCCGTCTTAGGGAACTGGACGACAGGGTGAGCCGGCCTGGGTAAGAAATGAAGCTCAAGTTATACCCACCCCACTCAGCCTCCATCTCTTTATCTGAAAATGGGGTTGTGGGGGCTCCCTGGGAGATGACTATGTTCAGAAGCCAGGCAGGGACGCTGTTGTTTTAGTACCTTTGCCCTGGTCTCTGGGAGAGTGATGCCCCACAGTCCCTCCTCTCCAGAGACCCCCTCCTGGCAGAAAGCCCAGCTGTGCCTCAGTGTGCCCTTGAGTCCCCAATGTCCCCCTCCAACCTTTGGGACTTTCCATTCACCTTGGAGAACCTCTCCCCACTCACTACCTCAGCCCCCCCCCCGCCCCCCAGTGGATCCACGGCGACACTGTGTCCAGTGTCCACAGCTGCAGATGTCACCACCATCCTCTTCTCCCCCTCTCCACATTAGGATCACCGGGGGCCACCATGACCATCAACCTCACGTCAGAACTTGTAAGCGACCCCCACGAAATAACGCCAACGGGCTGCCTGCTGTGCTATTGTTTGAGGACTGTAATAGCTGGGCCTGTCTGAGCCTGAGCACAACCACCACTTACTAGCTGGCTGAGTTGCTTAAGCTCCCCATGCCTCAGTTTCCTCATCTGCAAAGGTGGGGACAGCTCCTGGGGGCAGAGCGGTATTCCTTGAGCTCTCGTGTGTCAGGGCCCGCTGTGGCCTGGAGTGAAGAGCTGCACGGGGCGTCAGGAGCCTCCTGCAGGAGGACCCCAGAGGGCGAGGACGCCGGCCGGCCTCACAGAGCAGTCACGGCACAGGGACAAGCTCTGAAACACTCAGCCCCCCCAGCAGGAGCCCTTGCTGGTGCTGAGACTTGGGGGATGTCCTTTCATTTTTCTGAGTCCCTACCCTCAAAAGTTTATTAAAAATAAAATGACCACCGCTTCCGTGGGGCTGACCGGTGCCAGGCGCTATTCCAAGCACGGCATGCACATGAACTCATTCGCCCTGCTCCCTCCTGCCTGCCCTTTGAGACAGTGTTCTGCCCCTCCCATTCATAGGGAGGGACACAGGGAAACTGAGGCACAGTGACATAAGCAGGGAAACTGAGGCACAGTGACATTAAGCAGGGAAACTGAGGCACAGTGAGAGGAAGTAACTGCTCAGGGTCCCTTGTGGTGGAGTGGGGGGCTTGAGCCCAGACAGCAGGAGGCAGTGTCCACTCCCTTTCCCACCACCACGAAAGCATGTGACCCATCTCCCTGCCTGCAAGAGCTCAGACTGTCTGGGAGGCGAGGTCTGCTAGGCCCGGATCATCGACAGCTTCTAGGGCTCAGATGGTGGGGAAAGATGGGCTCCAATCCCAGCTCTGCCACTTAAGGGGGTCTGTTCCCCAACAGAAATGACCACCTCTTAGGAATGTTTCAGTAATAGCCGCGAATGCAGAGGTGAGCTCTCATCACACAGGGGGCCAGCAGGGGCTGGGCCACGCACCTTACTGATGTCAGGGGACCTGGCACGACCGCCCTCGGCATCGCTGAAGGCCCTGGTGATGGCGAACTGGATGGCCAGGCCCGTCATGGTGCCGGTGGACAGCGGCTGGATGCGGCGCACGGCCTGCAGCAGCGCGGCCTTGGAGCCGTGGGCCCGCAGCGGGAACTCCTGCTTCACCGTGCTGGCGTAGTTGACCACGCCCACCCGTGTGGCATTGGGCCCCACATCCAGCGACTCGATGACCTGGGACAGGAACACCTTCACCTTCTCGAACTCCACAGGCCGCACGCTGCGCGAACTGTCCACCACAAACACCAGGTCCGTGGGCCGGGTCCGGCAGAGGTGCCCTGGGAGGGGGCAAAGGTCAGGACCGAAGACACAGGAGGACAAGAGCCAGCCTCCAGGCCTCAGCAGAGTAACGGACAATGGTCCAGGTGGCTGGGCCTGCGAGTGGACACTCAGACAAGCAACTTGACTCCCTGAGCCTTGGTCTCCTCATCTGGTGACCCCTTCCTCACAGCATCCTTCCAGGACCTGCAGCTCCTGGGGACTGGGCAGCAGGGGTGCAGGTCTCAGCCCAGAGTGGCTGCTATAAACAGGGAGCCACTGTTTCTCCCAGGGACCCAGCCAGGAGCAGACACGGTCTCCAGGGCTGACGCGGTGCCCACCAACATGGTCACTTTCATGCGAGCATCAAAGCGAAGGCCCTGAGTAGACCATTTCCCTCAGCTGGTGTCCACAGGCAGAGAAAGGGGAGCAATTTCTGGTGGCCACCTTGGCAGTCTGACCGGTGGGCCCTCAGCACACCCCCCACCCCCAAGGAGTGATGTCTTTGCAGACATCACTGCACGTGGGAGGCAGCTCCATGTGCCAAGATGTACGTACAGTTGGAGACAGACCAGGGTTCAAATCCCAGCTTGGCCATTTTAGCCCACCTGTGGAAGCTTGTTTGTCTCATCTGTCCAGTAAGGAGAATAAGCCCCCCAGAGCACAGTGCCTTAGACCCAGGCATCAGAATTCCTAAGGAGACCTTAGAAGCATCTTGCTGCCAGCTCCCCCCGGCCCACTAGCCGAGGCTGCAAGTGGATACAATGAGCTGCAGAGGAGAGAGGGGATCAGCCTCACCACAGACCAGCAGATCAAGAGCCAGCAGGCCCGGGGCTGTCTCACTGTGTGGTCTGAGGTCCCCTCCACGCCCCCACCCAGCCTCGATTTCCCCATCTATATAAGAAGTGTTGGGCATTCTAGGATTCAGTGCCCAAGACTGACACTGGGGCTGGTAGAACCCACAGAAACCCAATCCGGTATATGCTGGAGGGCATAAGGATGAAGGGGGGCCTCTTGGCACCCCAATCTACATTCCTCAGAGAACCATAGCTTGGTGCAGTTACAGACAGCAGCCGGCTCTCTGGGAATCTGCCCTCTGACCCAAAGTCTGAGATCCCTGCAGCAGTCTTAGGCTCCTCCTCAGACCCAGGAAAGGCTCTGGGGCCCCAGAGAGAGGCCCACGTTTGTCCCCCAACAGGGAAGATCACAAGACACCCCACCCAGCCCTCGTGCAGGTCACCACCTCTGACAGCTCCCAAGCCAGCCTGCTGGCCACTCATGCTCCTGCTCCTCTCCCATCCTGACCCCTTTAAGCCTCTGCCCATTCTGTGCCCAGCCTCCCAGGTTACTGGTCAGGGGCCACTCGCCCAGAGTCCCCCATCTCATGTGGACCCCCTCACCTCTGGATTGGGGAGTGAGGCCACGGGTGTGTGGGGCCTGGAGCAGCAGCAGCAGCAGGCCACAGAGCACGAGGCCGGTGCCAGAGGTGACCCTCATGGTTCTGGCAGCGCAGGCAGCAGCGGCAGAGTTGTGGGGGCCTGCAGGGTCCAGGTCTTATCAACCTTGCTGCCTGCCCAGCCTCCAGGCCTGGCAGCCCCCCACTGACAGGGGGACAACCCGCTCTGGCCCCCAGCCCCCCAGGGGCGGGGCCCAGGCTTGAATGGAGGTGTGTGTGCTGGAGAGGGAGGGAGCCGCCTGGCCTGTGCTCAAGAGGCCCCTCCAACCACAAGGGCTCCTTTGCCTGCAGAAGCAACCAGAGCTGCAGCTGGAATTCAGGAAATCTCAGGTGGGTGGGGGTGCCTCCACCAGGGCGGGAGCCTGCACTGACTCGCAGCTGCCACTCCAAGCCAGGGAAACCTGAGTCCCACGGCCTCACACCCACCCTGCCCTGCACCCTGACCCCTGCCCCAATCCTCTCCCACCTGCAATTCCAACCCCTATTTCCTCCTTGAACACAGTTCCCCTTCTCCAGCCTCAGCTGTCCCCTGCCTCTCCACGTGCACCCCATTCTCCAGCTGCACCTGAATTCTGCGGGGTGCTCCTCCAGACTTCTCCAGGCTCCCCAGGCTCCTGCAGAGCCACCTGCCAAAAATGCAGGTCCCCTGCTAACTCTCTGCTAACAGAATCTCTCAAGATTGTAATTGGGGCAACGTGTACATTAGCACTTGGCATGTGCGAGGCAGTAGGGAAGATGGTTAAGAGCATAGGCTTGGAAGCCACATAACCTGGTTTGCTCTATCCTGCCTGTGTGCCCACAGGCAAATACTTCACTTCTCTGTGCCTTGGAAGCTGGGAGTGCCAACAGGGTCTACCTCCGAGGGTAGATTGGAGGAGTAGAGTTATATGAGCTGACTCATTTAATACTCTTGACGCCGTTGTGAGCAGCCACTATTATCACTCCCTTTTTCCACACAAGAAGCTAAAAAACAGAATGGTAAAGTGACTTGTCTAAAGCCACACAGCTAAGAATGATCACTGCCAAGGAAAGGCCCCCGACAGGTGCTCAGAGGAGGCAGGAATAAAAGCTTATAGGTAAAAGAATAGAACCAGGAGTGGGCCCGACGTTGCCTCTGGCCCAGTATTCAATGGGGTAGAGTGGAAAGAGGATGGGCTTGGCCACCTGAGAGACCAGGGTTCAAATCCACTTCCACTGCTGACCCGCTGTGTGACCTGGAGCTGGTGATTTGACCTCTCTGAGCCTCTGCTTATCCTCATGCACTGGGAATGGCAGCACGTGGCTACCCAGCTCAGCGAGAACACGAGAGGAGGCAATGATAGGGCCAAGTGGAGGTGGGGATCACAGGATTACCATCTTTCCAGGGGGCAGAATTGTTCATTCTTAGGACATGCACACTTCACTCGATGTAAATTTTACCTCCATACAAGGAGATGGACAGACATATTTTAAAACGTGGTTGCTGGGCACAGCTGCAACCTACGTTCTCCCAGTTTCAACAATAATGATATTGCAGTGCCTTCCCCACCTGACATGGCAGCCAACCCGCTCCTCTGTCTCCTTCGTTTGCCCGACAAACCTGTGAGGTCAGCAGATCTCAGGACATGAGCCCATTTGTCAGATGAGATCACAGCCCAGAGAGGTTCGTGCTGGAGCCACCCAGCTGGGGTAGGAACAAGAGCCTGGGAGCTGGAACCAGGCCTTCCCCTTCGCCCCAGTTCTGGAGAACAAGGAAGTTAAAAGCGTTGCCCCCAACTTTTCACATGTTGGTTTCATTTCCCCCTAATTCATCACCTTCCCAATTCCAAAAGCCAATCGAAGCTGCTAGTTTCTCTGCTCTTGACAACCTTGAAGTCTGACTCCGGTCTCCAGAGAAGACCCTCCGCAGGACATGGTCACAGCAGTGCCCAGCGTTATGAACGCGTTACCTGCCTCCCCCGGAGGAGGTCAGCTCCCTCCCGGCAAGGGTCTTGCCTGGGTTAGTCACCCCAACACCCAGGCAGTGCCTGGCCCGGGGCATCTGGTGAGCAAGTGAAGAAATGAAATCAGAGAAGGAATTAATGGGGAACCGGTTGGATCCATGTAAACCAACAAAGGTCAGAGAAGCCAGACTGGGGTCAGCACTGGGGTCCAAGCCGCGGGGCCCCACAGAGGTGGACGAGGAGAACGTGAGGGGCGTCTCCTGGCCCCACCGCCGCCCTCACACCGGTGGACAGGGCTATGTCCGGAGCTCAGCACAAAGCCCTCTTGGCCAGGCTGCGCTGGCCCATGAAGCGGCTCTTTCAGCTCCGTCTCTGAATGGCAGTTCTATGGGCTCTGCAGAGAAACACAGCCGCCTTCTCTGTCACCTCTGCTCATTAGCAGGGCCACAGAAATATGCCACAGGTAAGTTTTCAAGAAGAGAGACGGTTTCCCCCAAAGAGGCAGCTTTGGCATTCCTTAGCAGGAGCAAGGGGCTGGGGCGGGGGGGAGGCCTGGAGTTGAGCATATACATTGAGGAAAGAAAATAATATTTGTGTTTCTAAAATGTGAAGCATTTCCCCCCAGGAATCAAAATCAGGAACAGCGTGTCCGGTATTGGCCAGAGGGAAAAAATGCATGGAGGGGCCTTCCAGGCTGCTCCCAAGTCAGACAGGCGGCGGTGAAGGGCTCCTGCTGTTCCCTCTCCTTGTTTTCACACACCTCAGGTTTCCAGAAACTTAAAGCCTTTAGTGTTTTATCCAAGAGAGAGCGTTCATGATCAAGTGAGAGGCCCTGGGCAGAATGTGGGTTCAGAGAGAAGTGCAGGGCACCCCCCCTTCCCTAGCCCCATGCTGCCCTTTACCAAAAGCACAAACGCATGACCTTGACCAAGGGCAAATCCCCTTCATCTGATTCTGATTCACCTGCCAGCCGTGGAGCTTCTGGTGAATCCCTTCATCCTAGTTTCGCTGTCTCCCTGTGTACCTTAACTGTGATTTATTTAATCTTTCTTTTTCATGAACCCTAAACCAACTCATTTTCAGAAAAAAATTCTCCTCCTCCTATGAAATAATAGCCATGAAATCACTGGTTTGGCGCACAGTTTAAATATTTATTCAAATATACATTCCAATTAATTCAAAACTAATTAAATTTCACTTTTTCATCCACACATCCCTGAAAGTTCTCTTGTTTTGCTGGTAGCCAGCAGGCCAGACTTTGAGGAGTCACGCGAAGTGAAGAAATCTGGACATCAGACAGAACTGAGCTGGACGCCTCAGATTTGATTCACCTGCCAGCTGTGGAGACTTCCAGGGAGTCCTTCCCTTTTCTGCAATTCTGGTTCGTGTCTGTAAATTTGGGCTCTTGTTGCCAGTATCACCGGGTGGTGAGACACCGCATATTTGTTGTTTTTCTAACGCTGTCTTGTATTACTCAGGATAGGTTAGGCAAGTTGCAGTAACAAGCAAATCATCAGGGTCTCCCCAGGTGGCGCAGCAGTTGAGCGCTGGGCTGCGAAGCTGCCCGCAGCCTCTGCAGCGCCCATTCGATCCCCTCCTGCCGCACCCCCTGCTCCCCTCGGCAGTGTATTTCGTCAGTCTGCCTGTTCTGCTCCCCGCTCTGGCTCTGGTGAATTCTCTCACCCTCCCACACTTCTGACTGTACCCAGTGCTTGTATAAATAAATAAACAAATCTTTAAAAACAAAAACAAAACAAGCAAGTCATCAAACCACCAGGGTTATTCATATCTGGTGAAACAGCCCCACGCAAGACAGGCCACCCCTGTCCTGCTTCCTCCCTCTTGTTTCCCCACCATATGCAAGTCCTTTGTCTCCAGCCACATGGAGAGGAGGAGGAGGAGAGAGAGAGAGAGAGAGAGAGAGAAAGACTCTTCACAGCTCAGAGAAGGATCACACATCACCTGACCTTACCATCACCCTTCGGTTAGGACACAGGGAGGTATTCAGTGAACAGTGACCCTCGGTCACCCCCCTCCCAACCAAAAGAAAGCTTCTGTTGGCCCTATGTCACCTCTGGTTGAAAATTCAAACTAAGCTGGGCATTTCTGGCTCTTTGTCATCTGTTTCTTGCCACCTTTTCCACACCGCTGCCCATCCCTCCAACACATCCCTCCCTCCTCCATCTTCTCGTAGGATATATTTTCCTTCACTGCAGGAGGTTCCATTTAGGACCGTACTCAGCAGTTTTCATGACTTTTGCTCCATGAGACCATGCCAGGCTGGAGGGCAGAGACTCTGGCTTGTGCACTGGCACGAATCAGAGCCTATGCTCACTAAAAGGTGACTCACTTAATCTGGGGGGAAATACACAGCCTTGACTCTCAGGCTGTGAAGGTAACCCCAAGGTCATTGAGAGCAGCCTCTCCAGCCTGGCTACCCAACACATGCACCCCAAGGGTCTGTCCATATTGGTTGCCTTCCTGGAGCCAGAGGATCAACTTGCAGCTGTCAGAGGCTTCCGTGGGGAATGCAAGCAGTCAGCCATGGAAGAGGAGGAAGAAATGGGCTGGGAGAAGAAATGAGCCCTTGGAGCCCCTGCAGGAGAGGACTTATCCTACAGCAGAGTCAGCTGATGCTCCCCACAGTCCTTTAGCCCACCTATGGACTCACAAACTGGGGTTCTCACAAACACATAAGTGAGCAAGATGGCATGGGGGTGGGGGTTAACATCCTGGGACAACCCCCAACCAAGAGGGATAGAAGCGGTGGATAAATAACCCAGCCCCTTACCCCCCATGCACAGTTCTGACTGCTTCACAGTTCCTCAGAGGATTCCCTACAGGATTGAGCCCCAATTGCCCACAGAAGTGACCTGCATATTCATGCCCATTATTAGTGGTTTTTTTTTTTTTTTTTTCACTTCTCTGCCACACACTGTGTTTTCTGGAATCACCTCCTAAGTAAGCTACCTGTGTCTAAGTCCTTGCTTTAGTATTTAATTTGGGGAGAACCCAAAAGAAGCTAAGACAAAGCCTTCTCTGTGGGAATCCAAGACAAGGACGTGTTTGGTGCCCACCTGAGGGTGGGGAGAACCTCCCTGATGAGTGAGCAGGTGAGG